ACTGTAATAACAGAAGTCAAGACTGATGTCTCAACAACATACAATGTCACGGAAAATTTTATAACATCTGCTGACAGAAAAACAGATTTGCTGTAAACAGAAAGATTATGGAGAAAAGTAAATGACAGAAACTTAAAGAACACAATCAATTGTTAACTCAGTTAGATGCAACTCACCTACTCTAGAGGCTACCAAGACAAGAATAAAATCCACTATCATAAGTATCATTTTGAAGTCTAAACATTCTTAATTTACAACTTCTCACTTAATCCCTACCTAGTGCAACTTCTACCTAGCAACATCCTAGATATGAGAACCTCTCTCACTCCTAATCACCGTAGTGATATCAAATAATCCCAATCCCAGGAAATGTCTCAAGAAAATAAAAAGAAGATTAATCTTTCAATAAAGAATACTTAGCTTGCTTAAAAGCTTAACTAAGAACAATACTAAAATCTTTGCTTAAAAGCTTAGAGGAGATCAATAACTTGATAAACAAGTAACAATCAGTCAACTCACATGCATCAAAAGATACATGATGACGTACAAATAAACACACGAAAAACCTAAGGAACTATCAAACCCCAAACCCTTATTTTTCACAAGGTTTTACAATAAAAATAATACTTTAAAAACTATTTCTAGACGTCCCCTTAAATAGACTCCTGCAGCGGGCTTGAACTCTTCAATCAAATCTAATCGTCAGTCGTAAATCCCCGTAGAATCTTATCCATAAAAATAGAAACAAAAAACAAATCTTTCAAATATTTCCTAAAAAGTCTCAAAGATCATTTTTATGAAACAAATCAAATATGAAATTATTCCTAAAAAAATCCTTGATTGCATACGCCTGTTATAAGTAATAGAAGCCTCCAGAACCTCATATTTTTTAATCAAATCTTCAAGGATATCATCCAGCTCTACTGTCATGATATTCTATTGTAACATGTTACAATATTTGATAGAACATCTGTTAAATAAAGTACCAATAAACTCTGTTGTACTAGTTGGTCAAGATGTTATGACATCTTGTTCAACATTTAGGATGCAATACATGTTTTCCAAAGGAAACATGTTTTGATAAAAATTTTGCCAACTCTGTGTTTTATCAAAATTATTGTCAACCATAAAATCACAGACCTAACACCATCCTTGGAAAATTTACAAAGCCATTTCTCCTTATCTAGAGAAAAATAATGGCCTTGGATAACCAAAAGGATATCAGAAACAATTGGTTCCTCGTGAATAAAGAAATGCATCTTCCATCTAAAGTCCTAAACAAGAGACATATCTTCCCACATACCAACTTCTCCAAAACTCCCCTTAAGATAATCAATGATTTTAAACAACCTAGGAAACATATCCTTGAGGAGAATGTCAACCCATGGGTCAAGCCAAAAATATGTTTGAATCCCTCATCCAACCTTTTTAGAGATACCATCCATAAACCAACCAGATGGATCTTCCTTCTTATACTCCATAGGGACACTCCATTCCACTAGAAATATGAGTTTTGAAAGCCCGAGTCTTTGTTGCCCTTCAAGAAGGAAATAATAATAACACCATATCAGGTACAAAGAATACTTTTCCATGGTCTTAGGTCACCTGAAATAAGGCGCCACCTCCCTTTATCCAAAAGAGCTAAGTTGACCAGATGGAGATCCCTAACCCCTAAACAACCTTTTATCTTAGTCTTACACACATCATTCAATTAACCTAAGAGATTTTAAAATCATCCTTAAAAAGACCCAACAAAACCTTCTTCGGATTTTATCAATTTTCCTCTAAAACTTAGCAGGCATTTCCAAGAAAGACAGATAAAGAATGTGGATAATATTAAGCACATATTTGAGAAAAACCACCCCATCCCAAGCTAAAATATTTATGCTTCGAAGAATTATCCATATTAGAAATCAAATTAATAAGAGGATCCCTAGTACCTTCACGGTTGGGAATAACTCCCATTGGAAGATAAAGGTACTTGAAAGGAATTGCCTCAATTTTACAACGAAGGAAGTCACCAGCAGAAATAATAAAAAAGCAAGACCACATTAAATCCTATCAAACTGCTTTGAGGAAATTCACTCTGATGAGCTAGCTCGAAGCCTTAAAGGATAGCTTTTATAGTACAAAGGTTCTCAACATATGGTTTTACTTAGATAAGAGTGTCATTCATGTATTACAAATTGGTGACAACCAAACATGAGGTATAAATATCAAACCCAATGAGAAGACCTAATTCAATGGCCATACTAATCAAGCTTATTAGTCTCTCAGCCAGTAGTAGAAAAAGGAAAAGAGCTAGGGGTATCCTTGATTTACCCCCCTTTGAATTCTAATCTCTTGAGTTGAATAACCATTAACCAAAACCACAAGATTCTTAGCAAAAACACAAGCTCTAATCCAAGACCTCCACTTATCATTGAACCAAAATCTAACCAACATATAATCCAGTAAATCTCAACTCACTGAGTCATAAGCTTTCTCAAAAACCATTTTAAAAATGATACAAGGCATCATGGCTTTCTTATCTAGGTCAAGCACTTCCTTAATATCCACCATACCATCCACCAATATTCTACCTTTAAGAAAGACATATTTATTAGGGGAAACAAGCTTCCATATGACCTCCCATAGTTTAACTGCTAAAACTTTATCCACTAACTTATATAAAAAGTTGTTAAATCATTTTGTGTGAGATATTTAAGTCTCTTATACTTAAATTTAAGGATATATTAGAGCTTGAGTAATGTAATTTATTTATGTTTCATGTTACTATAGTTAATCTAGGATATAACACTTTAGGTGATTTCTTTTATCAATTTTATGTGTTTTGTGCTTGTGCATAAATGGCTATTGTGATAAGTTCTTTCACGCTTGAAATCCATGAATACCATCCAGTAGGCCTCAAGCCAGAAGATACTGACATGGGTCATCAACTTAAGTGTTAATGCTAATGTGATAGAGAATTGAGAATAAATTAGGACTCAGTTGGAGAAAATGAATGGATAAGGATGAAGCGCTACAAGACAAAAATCTAAAAAGCATTTTAGGACTATTGTTGTTGCTCCAGCACTGTTGCACCAGTGTCACATCGTCATGTTGGCTCCCATATGCATTGTATTATCATAGTATATCATAAAGGAATGTGTTTTATTCTTTGGACTTAAGTTAAATGATAATTATAAAGGTCTAATAAGAACCAAATTAATAGATATTATGCAACTGAAAAACCTCTATAAATAGAGTTATAATGAAATGAAGAAAGAGATTCTTAAATTTTTGAAAAAAATTATGCATAAGGCAAATTAAGGAATACAAAGAGTTTTGCTCGACTTCGTTCTAGTCAGATTTGAAGGAAACAACATTGAGAGATGTGATAAAAGACATCACTTGCTGATTAACAAATTGCAAGTGATTAAAGTGTCTTTTTTAGATTTATCATTTCTATTTTCTTTCTTAGGAATTTGTAACTTAATATTTTTCTATGGTGTGTTTACTTTACTCAGTATGATCTAAAATTGCTTTGTTAGGTAATGTGAAGTTTAATGAAATAGTAATATTTTAAATATTATGAATGGGTTCTCTTGATATATTTTTGTTCATGTGAATTTATGTTATATGTTTATTCATTTATCTGCCACCTTAGAAACAAATAACAATTTACTAATGTTGAGGAATCCTTTAATGAGTGGATATCGTGATAAATATGGATAAAAAGGTAAATATAAATATTTGTTATTTAGTTGCTTTATGGATAAAGAGCTAGAACTATAGGGGAATGGAAAACTCACTAAAGACATGCACTAATGCTATTGTGAGACATAAAAATTTGTTCCTTAGCTCAGTTGCATTTATTTTGAAGTTGTAGGCTTACACCACTAGATCAAGCTCTAGCCTCGTCTGTCACAACATATATCAGGTACATTAGATGGATTTATTAAATGGAATATTGTCCAACATATTCTTTAATTTTGTGTTAATCCTTAATTATCTTATATATTTTTTCACATTCTCAACCACGTGACACATATTATTATTTTATTTACCTTTACTCATGTTTACTTTATAACTTCTTGTATGAAAATCATTATACTTAATACAATCTTTATGAAATTGATACTCTTTCTTATCATTTGCTATTAATTTGACCATGTATAATTGCACATACAAAATATCTATCAAGAGACAATTAAATGAATAGGTCTGAAATCAGGTAACTGAACAAGAAAGTTATTCTTAGAGATCAAGGTGACAAAATAAGAAGCAAATGAGCGAGGTAAAGAGGAAACCTGGTGAAACTGATAAAACATAACCAAAAAGTCTTCCCTAAACAGATTCCATAACCTTTTTAAACAGGAGAAGAAAAACCCACCAGATCCATGTCTCTTGTTACCACCACACAAGGTAATAGCACTATCAAGCTCCTGAGAAGAAAAAACAGTGGTCAAGGTAAACTTATCCTCGTCAGAGGTAATAGTTCTTATAATTTATTTAACAAATTTTTGTATTAAAATTTGATATTCTAATCTCGAGATTTCATCTTCAATTTAAGAGTCATGTCAACTCAATGACATTCTTATGTTTATAGTAGTATGTTTTATTAATTCTTGATGAGACAAGAATGAGTGAAATTTACAAGATGCATTAACTTCATCGGTTTAGGGAAAGTCGGCTATAGAATCATGAGTCTAATACTAGTATATATAGTATTTCTATTCAAGTAGTATTCTTAAAGTTGAAGCATTACGATACAAACTCATATAAATGTTAAATTAATTACCAAAAAAAAAAAGTTCCAAAAATTTCAACAATTTGTCCCATTATTATGCTTGAAAACAACATCTACCACTAGCAACAAACACACTTTCTACCCTTCCATTGGTATATATAAAGGGTAGCAGCACAATAACAACATCTTCATTGGCTCATACACACATCTCTTATCACATTAAACACTAAATTTTCTCAGCATCATTGTGTTAAAATTGTTCGCTATAATGCCCTCAAGTTCATCTTGGACAACAAAGCAGAACAAAAAGTTTGAGAATGCTTTGGCCATCTATGACAAGGATACACCAGATAGGTGGCAGAAGCTAGCGAAAGCTGTTGGAGGTAAGACAGTGGAAGAAGTGAAAAGACATTATGAGATGTTGGTTCAAGATTTGAAGCAGATTGAAGATGGTCATGTTCCATTACCAAAATACAGAAATTCTCCAACAATAGGAGGAGATAGCATTAAAAGTTACACTTTTATAGATGAAGAACAAAGGTACTAACTTTTACTCCTTAATCCTTATTTGCCATACAATAACTTATAAGTATTTTTTGTATTTAATTTTTCATGTTTTAGAAAATATGGAGGATATTTTTATTATGGCTGTGGAGTGAGTCTAATTATGTTACATTAATTGTATTTTTATTTGTAATGCAGGTTGAAGTTTCTAAGCATTCAGTGAGGTAGTAATTAACAGAAGGCAAAAAAAAGTGGAATATTATTTTTTGGGGTTGGTTTTTAACTTGTATTGGTGACATGTAGCATTAAAATTAAAATGTGTAAAAAAATTATGTCATGGACATGTCAACCATTGACTATAATTAAGTTTGTGTTAGCTTCATTTTAATTTCTGTTTTGGATGAATAAAAATGATGATAGCGTCTTTAGGAAGGAACCTAGAGGAGCTTCCAAGCTAAGTGTGTTTGTGTTCGAGTATGTTTATTTGCTAAAAAACATAGGATGTGGACAGTGCAAGATTTAATATAATTATTAAGATATCCAAATTCGGTTACTTGTTGAATCAAGACGGAGCAATATAAGAGAATTTATTTTAGATTCCATAAAAAAAAATATTAATTTTAGAGAATTTATTTTGAGTTTACAAAACGCCACATATGGGTGAGTATGTGTAACATCATCCTATTTTGCTATAATGTAAAAATTTATGCACCTACTTTGCCACATAAAGTTCCTTCAATAGCAAAACGATAATATATATAGGCTTAAATGCAGTTTTGACCCCCCTAATTTAAGGTTTTTGGAGTTTCGATCCCTCTAGTTTAAAAGCCAGGTTTCTAGTCCCCAAAGTTTTCAAATTTGGGATTTTTGAAGCCCCCTCCATCTGGCTGCCCAAAAAGTGACATGGCACAGGGAGAGTAATGCCACGTATTTTTTTTTCTTATTTAGAATAATATTTTTTAAACATTTAAATAAATGATATTAATTTCCAAATGAATTTTTAATTTCATAATTTATATTTTCTGAAAATCCCAAATTCATAAACCTAATTTCCTCTTCCATCCTTGCTTCTGATCATCTTCAACCCTCCTTCTTGGTACGACCTCCAACACTCCATCTTCGTCTTCCTTCTGTGGTACCAGCTTCAACCATCACACTCCTACTACATACTACCTTCACACTCTCTCTTAAAGCTTCGTATAATCATTCTGATATTTAGAGCGATGAGGAAAGATGGAGAAAGATATTCTATGAGGTAAGTTTTGTTGTCTTCTTGAACATGTTTTTATATAGTTCTGTGTGGTCCACCATTGTCTCATATTAGTGGGTTTAGTATTTTCTCTTTTGTGGTCCACCATGAACGAATATTCAATGTTTGGCTTTTAGTGGGTTAGTTTATTAACATTGCATTTTAATATTGTTAATTTCAGGCCACCACCAGAGACATTAGTGAGGTTAAGATTACACCATAGGGGTAGATTTGTAAATGAACCTGTACATTTGTATGTTGGGGGCGAGGTTACTGAGATGAATTGGAAGTTTGATGTTGACTTTATGTCATACATGGATTTGGAGGCACTGGTTAAAGGTCAGGGTTATATAGACATTGGATCTTTGTGGTATAGGAACCCTAAATTTAGCTTTACCCGTGGTCTAAGGCCATTAAACAATGATAGGGATGTACTGCAATTTGGACAAGATGTTGTAGGTCATGAAGTAATTGATGTTTATGTGGAGCATAAGGTGTCTGATCCACCTGAAATTGTGGATCCTAGTGAGTTGGATAAAGTAATTGAAGATGATGATGTAGAATTGATTGGTGTAGCAGAACCAAATATTGCTGTAGCTGAACATTGTGAAGTTGAACCTGAAACTGCTGAACATGAACCTGAACCAGAACCAAATATTGATGTTGTTGAAACTGCTGAACATGAACATGAACCTGAACCTACTGAACCCAATATTGCTGTTGCTGAACCTGTTGAACAAGAACCTGAAATTGTACCTGAACCTACTGAACCTAATATTGCTGAACCTACTGAACCTACTGAACCCAATATTGCTGAACCTGCTGAACCCAATATTGCTGAACAAGGACCTCAAATAAATGCTGAACAAGGACCTCAAATAAATGCTGAGAGCCAACCCAATAATGATTTCAGTGAAGATAGTAACAATTGTGAGGATAGTGGAGAGTGTGATGAGATGGACTGGACGTCAGTGCTGCCTCCTGAGACCTTAGGTGAGGAACCTAGTGTAGTGAACCTGCAATCACAATCTGAAGATGAAGAGGATGAGGAACATTTATACACACCCCCTGGTACTGATGATGAAGAAGATCAAGAAAGGTTCCCAACATATAAAAGTGGGCAGGGATTACAGTTCAAGATAGGATTGATGTTTTCAAACAAGGAAACAATAAGAGATGCAATTAAAGAGTATGGAATGGAAAACCAAAAAAATGTCTATATCAGGAAGAATGATGCAAAGAGGATTATAGTTAAGTGTATGGATGGCTGCAAGTTTCACCTCAGGTTCAGTTTGAGGAATGGGCAACAATATTGGCAAATTGTAAGTTATGAGAGTGACCATACTTGTTGCAGAACTGCAGACAACAGGAATGCTAAGACCCAATGGCTTGCTATAAGGTTTACACAACTTCTAAGGCACAACCCATACATGAAACCAGCTGGTTTAGTCGCTGAAGCACTACAGAGACGGGGAATAAAGATATCAAGAGATCAAGCATATAGAGCTAAAAGGAGGGCATTGGACCTTATCCAAGGTGCTGGTTATGACCAGTTCAGGCACTTGAGAAGTTATGGAGAGGAGTTATTGAAGTCCAATCCAAAGAGTACAGTTATTATAAAATGCTCAGAAAACCATGGCAGTCCTGCATTTGAAAGAATATATATTTGTTTAGATGCTTGTAAGTCAGGATTTGCCAAGTATTGTAGACCAATAATTGGTTTGGATGCATGTTTTTTGAAGGGGGATTATGGTGGCCAATTGATGTCTGCTATAGGCAGAGATGCAAACAATCAAATATATCCAATTGCTTATGCAGTGGTTGAGGCTGAGACCAAAGATTCGTGGGAATGGTTCTTGCATATACTACTAGAAGATTTAAGAGCAGTCAATGATAGATGTTATGGCTTTATTTCTGACCAACAGAAGGTAACATTTAATTCTTATCTGTGCTTTTATTTATGACTAATAGAATGTAACATTTAATTATGTGTGCTTTATGTTAGGGTTTGGTTCCTGCTATCCAAGGCTTAAGTTCCAATGTGGAACAGAGACTGTGTGTGAAACACCTTTATGGTAATTGGAAGAAAAAACATGGAGGTGTGGTACTAAAACAAGCTATGTGGGGAGCAGCCAGAGCAACTTCAATTCCAATATGGGAAAGAGCAATGCAGAAATTGAAGCTTTTAGATGGTGGAGCATGGAAGGACTTGAATGACATTCCAGCAATGTTCTGGACAAGATCACATTTCAAGACATATGCCAAATGTGATATTCAAGTGAATAACATGTGTGAGGCCTTTAACAGGGCAATTTTGGAGCATCGAGACAAGCCAATCATAACCTTATTGGAAGGAATCAAACATTATATCACTAAAAGGATAACTAAACAAAAGGGATTATTGCAGGGATATGAAGGAGTAATCTGTCCTAGAATCCAATTGCTAATTGAGAAGCACAAAAGGGAAGCACAAGACTGGACCCCAACTTGGCATGGTGATGATGATCTCTCAATCTTTGGAGTTACCAATGGAACTGAGACATATTGTGTAAATCTGAAGAATGAATCATGCAGCTGCAGAAAATGGGAGTTGTCTGGAATCCCATGTTGTCATGTTATCTCCTGCATTTGGAACATAAGAAAAAAACCAGAAGCATATGTCTCTCCATATTATAGGTTTGTGAGTCACATGTTATGTAACATATTTCTATGTCCTGTTTATGATATGTTCTATTAACTCTTGCATGTGTAACATTATTTCTGTTTTGCAGCAAAGTTACATTTGAGAAATGCTATGCTAATATTGTCATGCCAACCAATGGACCACAATTATGGACTGATGTTGATCATGTGCCTATGTGTCCTCCTATCATGAGAAGAGCAATTGGACGTCCAAAAAAGATGAGAATTAAAACAGGTGATGAGCCAAAGAACCCCCATGTGCTTTCAAGAAGCTTTTCAACTGTCACTTGCAATAAATGTGGACAAACTGGACACAACAGTAGGACTTGTAAGGGAAAGAGGGCAACTGATAGGCAGATACCAAAAGGAGGCAATAAGAAGACCAAGTAAACAAAGACAACCAAGAAGGCAAAGAAGACTAACAAGACTAAGAAGACTAACAAGACTAAGAAGACTAAAGATGCAGAAAAACAGATTGAGATTGGTCAGGGATCTCAAGCACCTCAGCCTAGTCAAGAGTAGAAGTAATTAGGAATGATGTTGCTTTTATTTGGAATGAAACTTGATGTATTAGTGGAAATCTTTAGTATGGTTATATTTTGTAATGAATATTTTGTAATGGATATGTTGTAATGGATATGTATCTTGTAATGGATATGTTTTGGTACAATCATGAATTTGGTACACACTCTGCTACAAACTGTCTTGGCTGCTCAAGTATGCAACAAACTGTGTTGAATAATTCTGCAAAATTCTGTGTTTAAAAAATTCTGTGTTGCCACAATGTTTCTGCATCTGCATTTTGAAAAATTCTGCATCTGTTTCTGCATCTGCATTTTGAAAAATTCTGCATTTTTTCTGTATTTAGGTAGACCATTTTTTCTGCATTTGTAATGGCCTACATAATGTTTCATTATTACACTGAGAAGTTATACTTAATGGTCTACATAATGAAACAAATTCAAGTGCAATTGCAATTTATAAACCTCAAACATCATCATTTCATTATAAACCATGAGTAGTTATACACCTCAAACATCATTACGAACTAAACAACATAGAAACTCCAATACTAATAAACCTAGATCATTTCAACCAACACAAAGAACCTCCTACAGACAACAATGAACCTCCAATACTAATAAACCTACATCATTTCATTATTATTGTTGCAACAAATGCAACCAACACAAAGATGGTTATGAACCAATTAAACTTCAACTGTTTCTTTAAAAATTTGATCTTCATCCTTGTTTCTTCTTCTTTTACCATTGACTCTTTAACCCTCTGCT